GAATTAAACCCAGTTCTTTGAGCGTTTGTGCTGGAAGTTCTCCTACTTTTGGATCCAGAGATTGCACTACAATTTTGTTTGTCGGTTTTGAAGATGCCGCTTTTACAAAACTCACCTCCGGCGACAAAAAGTAGAATCAGCAGCAGTTCGTTTGGCATGGTTCTCTGCAAGTCAGTCACTTGTCTAATGCTATCGTCTGAAACCAGGTATCTCCCTTTTAATGGAATATGTTATCGTAGTCTTGTATCTGTAAGTACCTTTATCTAAACTAAACGAATGGTATCGCGAAGTTAAATATGATTTGTCAGAATGAATGAGCTACCTAAGCAAAGGAGTAGAAGACAACTCTGATGTGAACTCTGATTACCTTATAGTAGGGTTCCTAAATGGGCCCGTTTCTAATCATTGAATAAGTTGGTTTGGTTTGGGAAATATTCGCCCTATATTGGTTGCCAAGGGCATTCACAGAGAGGTTTCAGTGTACCCTTAAAACATTTCTAGCAGATTATTTCTATTACTCTCATTCTATCTACACTCAACGGTGGGCATCTACGGGTAAATAAAAATTGTCTCGTTTACGCGTCGACTTGTGTGTACTTTATTGTGGATGTACACAATAGAAAAACCTAAGAATCATTTAACTCTGAAGTCGTGAACATTTGAGAAGTCGAAAGAGTTTGCTCAAACGCGAGAAGTCAAAGAATCTTGAGCAAGAACCATCTGGATTTGTAGAATTTGAAATTTAACAATCGGAACTTAAAAATGATCAGTCCCAAGATATGGCGAAACTGAAGAATTTGAATAAATCTTTTTTTATATATAGCTAATTATATTATTTCATATTTTTCAAATTTTTGAAATGACCGTCGGCCATTTTTATTGATTGGTAACCAATGAATACAATAAAAACAACATAATCAATGAATCCATGGCCTACTATTTAAAAACCGTAAAAAAACAGGTTTTTATTTTTGGGTTATGGCTAAAATATGGGTTTTCATACATCAATGTAATCAGGAAAAGGAATGCAAAAAATTGACGTTTACATATACAGGGTGTTGCATTTAAAAAATACCAACTTTGGGTGAAATCTCAGAAAAGGGAGCCAAAAACTTTTTTTTACTACGCCACTAGATTCTACGTAAAAATATCTAAAATAAGCAGTTTTTACCTGTTATCTCTCTTACATATCTTAATATGATCCACCCCAAAAGTATGTGTACAGATCAGGCCGATTGTTTCGTGGCGAGTGTGTAACGATTGTTGCAACTGTTAAACAATTATGCAATTATGGAACGATTGTAAGAAATTGAGAATAGATACTATAAAATCAGTCTTCATTATAATGGACCGCACAGTAACTAGAAGGTAGCGTTTTCCACATCTGCATTGTCAAAGCAAAAGCAAAGATATGGGGCAAAGCAAGTATGAAATTTTCTGTACACAAAATTCGAGAAATGTCAGAAATTAAAACATGAAAAATTAAAAAATTAATCACAATTCGCAACCCACTCGACCCTGATTACATTATTTCCAATTTTTTTGAGTGAGTATCTTCTTCCGAGGCGAGGAGGGGGGATGATACTTATGATATTGCAATATGATAAGGACGAGCGTGCAAAATTGTTAATAAATCGCTAAACGCACACAATCAAATTGTTATAAAATTTAGACGATTTACGCCTGTTTTACGGGCCACACGTGACCATATACCTATAACTTTTGGCGTGGTTGAAAAATGACATATCTGTGTCTTTATCGGATGATTAACATCATTCTCATTATGAAGTTTTTGAACACCCTTCAGCCCAAAACTGCCCTAGATCTTGATCTAGGTATTCCGACTATTGCGAAACGCATTGTATCTATGGAAGCAAACTAAGTTTGATCTGTTTGTGGTTTTAATCGTTATTTTTACATGTAAGTAAATGCACTAATATGCAGTTGGGAAAGAACCTAATTTTGTAGTATAAAGGCTCTGCTCTTCAATTTTTTTATTCGTAAATGTTATCAATTTACTGATATGGCAACATTCCTTGTCCATACGGACGCTTATCTCGTGTTCTAATCATAAAATTCTTAGCCGGTTTTGGTATCGTCCTACATTCTTCGCCCATAAACGTATACACTTCCGTAATAATATCCGGGTGGCAATACCTCGAGCAGAGACTACAGCTTACCGCAATTAACTGAGTGGACTGTATACTTTCTGTCATGTATTCAACACTACGTAGACTGCTGCACAAGGCTAAAAGTACAAATTAAAACACGTTAACGTGGTCATTTAAGTCTTACTGTCAGCCACCGGGGCGCTTTTGTCAGTTGGTGAAGGATCGCGGCAACCCGGCTGCGGACGCCATTCGCAATTGGGATGAAAATCGACTTTCCCGCAATTTTTCCACATTCCAAATGAGCTCGTGGTGTGTATGACGTCGACGAACAACGCGTCGGTTTTGGTAAGACTCTTGTTCGCAGCCGCGCTCTCGTAGAGTGGTCCGGCTGCATCTAATGCAGTTATTCTTCCAATCTCTTGGTCGCATTGCAACCTGACGTATCTGCCAAGGTATCCAGCGATTTGAGCGCCGAATGAGTAACCCACCACATGCATTTGGTTTAGTTCTAGTTCAACGGTTCTGCTAAGCTGACATAGGAACTTTGCCGCGCGTAACCCGATCGATGGCACTTCACAGTGAATGTAGGTGTAAGGCAGCAGGGCGATTTTAGACCAATCTACGATGATCAAATTGCAGTCATACCGTTCTAGGTATGCATCTCGCATCTCTTTAAAGAACGGCGTGTCATGGCTTGTGAGCCACCCCGTTATTAGCACGATCGTCTCTTTTTCTGGTAATACTTGGTCCAAATTGGAGGAAGATAGTACAATTGGGGTCTCTCTATGGTCGCGGTTGAATAAAAGAAACTGAGGAATGGTTCCAGGTTTATGATTTGTGCAATTTTCCGCGACTTTTTTATTACTGTGAATCAAATCCAGTTCTTTGAGCGTTTCATCGGGCAAATCTCCTACTGTTGGCTCCAGGGAATGCGCTAGAATTTTGTTTGTCGGTTTCGAGGATGCCGTTTTTACAAAACTCACCTCCGGCAACAAAAAGTAGAATCACCAGCAGTTTGCATGCCATGGTTCTCTGCAAGTCACTTCACTTGTCTAATGCTATCGTCTAAAACCAGGTATCTCCCTTTTAATGGAATATGTTATCGTAATCTTGTATCTGTAAGTACCTTTATCTAAACAAATTGTATCGCAAATTGAAAGATGAGAGTTGTCAGTACGAATTAAATACCTAAGCAAAGGAGTAGAAGACAATAGCGGTCAAATTGTTACCACCCCAGAATTTCAAACGAAACCTGAATTTGTACAACAATCAACTTTGCATTTTTGCATTTTTGCACTTGTTGACTTATTAGGAGGTTTATTTGATTTTTTAAATGTTGTTTGGACTTATAAGCCCTGCGTTATAATAATGTGCCATTTTGTAAATTATGAACGCACTATTCTCAAACACATGCGTTCGCTTCTGCACTTCCTACAAAACTGCCTAATAAGCTACTAAATGTACTTACTGTTCATGTTATACGTTGTTCACACTACAGAGTTAGAGTAGCTGTTGTTCACGTTACTGAATCGGTCATATACCTATGCGAATGTTCCCATAAACGCGAGTCTACTGTATTTCCTTTGGGAACCCGTTTAAAGATTATTTTTCTTCTGTACGCCTGTACTTTTCTACTGACTTCTTGTCTACCTGCATAAGGGCTTATCAGTTTTGGCTGTCACCACATATCTTTGTAGTGGTTTCTCTTTCTCTTTTTGATGTCTGTGGCTGTGCTCTATTGAAGCGTTTTACAGATTTGTATTTACACATAATCAGCACGAGGGATGTACATTTATGACGTAGCATTTCCTTAATACGTTATTTTTTAGGTCTTTATCTTCCCTCACGTATGCCTTTATCTTTCCTTATAGTTCTATTATCTATCCTCATTCTTCCCTCAAATTTCCTCGCAGTTTTCCTCAAGTTCTCTTATCCTCCCTCACAATTCCTCAGTTTTACCCACAGTTTCTTTATCCTTCCTCAAATTTAACTGTTCTCATCGTTGGACCAGTGCATTTTGGATTACTTTTATTACCTTTTACATACGCAGTACGTGAATGACATCACATTTTTTATCTGGACCCACCATCTTACAAGATTGACATTGGCGACATCACGTGATCTACCTGATTCTACCTACATTAACCTGGTGATTCTACCTCATTTTATCAACATTACTCTCGACTTCAAGTCTGTACCTGGAAATTTCGGGACATATATTTTCAAAAGAGCATTTTTTAAAGAAGGGTATCCAAAATTATAGAAAGGTTGTTACCTGTCTGCGTACTTTAAATTTGTGACCAGTGGCGTACTTTTGCATGGTAATGGAGGGGGAGCACTAATAGTTTTCATTATAATATATTATTAAAGACCACACTTTTTTCGATATAGCATTATAAAAGAATGAAAATAGTGGCTTTATACTCCGAAAATCGTGTATTGGTGTAAACGTGGAAATCGATAAAGATGTATACCATTTTTGTAATCTTGGCGAATGTCCGAATTGGAAATAAAAGGTATTAACTGCAGTTGAGCATTGTGGGGCGAATTAATTGTGTCATTGTGACCGTACATACTCTCATGTGTCAAAATTAACTTAAATTAATAAGGCAAGGTGAACAAGGATCATTGGTAAACTTTATTGTTGAGGCATCGTGTAATTTGAACCTTTACTGACAATAGTGACACAGTAACACAATTTTTCTTAAGATAAAGCTTTTTTCTGCCTTGTTTCTGGTGAACGGAAAACGTCACCTTGGCTGAATTTTGTAATTAATTATTATTAGATGGTTATGGATGCACTGGCTAATTTTTGTGGCTAGCAAACCATATGAGCAAGCGGAATTTATGGTCACAAACAATAAAACAAACAAACATAATACACGTAGGTATACTACGTAGAAAGTTGTATTGTAAATAAAAAACGGTTATACATATATCTTAGAAAAAATAAATAGTTTTCAAATACTATACGGTAAAACAGGTAGGTACATCATACATCGGCGTACGGTTGCCACACCTTGAAATATGGCGGAGTGCTGTACGTGCTCAGGGTGAAAGCTTTAGATTTCCTCGATTGCGTTTTTAAAACTGCCTTTTCACCCATTGGCATGTACCTGTCATTTCCGTAATCTGGACGGCAGAGACGGGGACACATCAGGCAGCTTGCTGCGATTGCGTTTCCGTGTCTAATACTTTCCACCATGTATTCCAAACTCCGTATATGACTGCACATAACTGAAATACAAAGGAAAGTAAGACCAATACATTTAAATCACATCGAACTTCTGACCTTCAGAAAGTAGAGTATCGCCAGTAATTGGAGACTCCAACTCACATCCCGGTTGTCTTTGGCCACAGTTTGGGTAGAAGTCTAGGTCTCCGTGATTATTTAAAATACCAAATACTTCGTTGTCCGTGTGAATTATGTCGACCATCTTCGCATTCGATTTCGAGAGCATCAGGTCTTTGCCGGGCGAGCTGAATAGGGCTCTGGATGGGTCGAGTCCGGTTATTCTTCCCACTTCCGCCCTACATTTGGGTTTGACTTCTTGAGATAGTAAGCCGGCAATATGAGCCCCCATTGAATGGCCGACGATGTGAATTTTATTCAAATCTAAATTTATCTTTTCGTGCCAATGGCACAAAACTTTGGAGGTGAATTGCGCGATGTTTGAGGCGTGACAGTACGAAAGGTGGTACAGTTGCTTCGCCGACTTGCTCCAGTCGATTAGTATAACGTTACAGTCATACTGTTGAAGGTACGCGTCTTTGAGTTCGTGCATTTGCTGGTCTTTTGACGAGGACAACCAGCCGTGGATCAAGATTTTGATGTCTTTGCCATCGGCGAGCTCTTTGGCGTCGCTTACGTTCAATTCAATGGGTGTGGTCAAGTGTTCGCGATTGTACAGATGGAAATGCAGTTGCGGTTTTAAACGCCGTTTGCAATTTACTGGTAACTTCAGATCTGGATTCCGTACCATATCTTGCACTTGCTGCGATATATCTTTGGGCAACTCCCCGAGACTTACATTGTACGATATCACTGAAACAAAGCCGTTTATTATCACACGAACTTTAAACTAGAACATTTCAACAAGTTCGATAAATGTCTTAAAATTATCGCTGCACTTCATATAACACTCACAAGGAATGGATCGCGTTATTTTTGTAAGGCACGATAAAGACAATTTTGAAAATAACTTACCTCCCACCGCGGAGTACAAGGCGAAAATAGCACAAGAGAGCAACATCTTTTTGAAGAATAAGTGTACGGATTCGTATGTGAGTTTATATATGAGAGCGTAGACGTCATGGGGGGTAATACGTAAGTCATTGTTTTGATTACGAAAAGAAGTTGATTGGAGCTCTATCACAAAATATTTTTTTGGATTCCTTATTTCCTTATCTCTCTTATGGAGAAATACGATTAATTAGGTGCATCAATGTTTCCATGTAGGGAACTATTACCCAAATTAATACCAAAAGTGCTAATCATTCCGATAACGATAAGACCAAGTACTGTTGGGAAGTAGCAATCCAAATTCATCTTTTTTATACGGAATTATCATACATTAATATCATAGAGGTACATTTCCAGCGAGCGGTTTCATTAGTAAAACAGAACGTGACCAAATTTTTATGTAGCTTCTCTGCGTCATAACTTTATTATCTAAGTAATTGCTTGTTGCTATTATAGATATTATAATTATTTATAGATTTTGTGTTAGTCAAGCTCTCATAACCGTACTGCCCCCAGCCGAGGTTGGGATGTTTACCCGTTATCTTTTTTTTCCACCTTACGTTTCAAAGTCCAATCGGTAATGACGGGTGTTGGTATTTTAACAAGGGAAGTAGCTAATTAAATTGTTGGTCAGAGCTCATTATTAAGATGCGACCGAGGATGCGACCAGTCTACTGTAAACTTGCCTTTCATAAAGGCGGCTACAGACACACATACATTCCTCGAGATATGTACGCCCATACACATCTCAAGGAAGGTTTCTGTGTCTGTAGCCGCCTTTAGAAATCTGTATCCTTCTGTAACCTACGCTTACGGTCATAAGGGGCGCTCGAGAGTCATGTAAACACACATCACAATTGCTAATCCGCGGTCATCGCCAATTACGTCCCGTCCCTGGCTCTAAGACCTCCTGGACCTCCGAATGCTCCGATCGGCAATTGGGGTAGAATGCGTCGTTGTAGATGATATCCTGAAGGGCCAATATGATGTCTATTTGAGAAAGGGGTTCGCCGTGTCCACGTGTATTGTTTAAAATCAGTTCTTGCTTCGGCCTTCTGACTATGACTCGCAGCCCTCCCTGCGAAAACGCCTGCAGGTCGATATCGACCCCTGTTTTTGTTAGCAATGAGGCCTTAGATTTGTCGTATTCGGTCGACACCATGACCAGAAACTCGGCAGTATAATCATCGGGCGCTAGGAATATATCCGGATATCGTCAGGGGTTTTACAATAACAAAGCACGGCCAACACGACGGCTTGCACTATTCACTCACCACCTACACTTGGGACACACTCGCATTCTAGGGTTATACTTCAATACTCCCTACTTAGCAATGCCCTACGGTCGTAACCAGAGCGTACGCAACTTTCCCTTAAGATCCTTGCACCCATCTGTGCACAATTGCGCATACTTGATCAGTCAGCTTGTCACATTTGTCAAATAGGGGTTGAGTTGACATACTTTTTCCACCATAAAATACCGTTCTTACAAATCTATGCATCTTTCTTGATGAGGTTGTAGCATCCCAAAACAAGGAAAGGAACAGGCACTGGCCTACTATTAGAACCGCCTCCCCTTCGAGCACCCATCATCTCACGTGTGGAATTACTTGAATGACGACTTTAGTCAGGGGGGTAGTACAAAGGGCCCGAATTTGAGTCCTAGGTACGCGAGGACCCTGTCCACACTTTTATCATAATCCAGAATCCAGATGCATAATTCATTCATTTTCATGCCTACTTTAGGTCAGGAAATTTTCGTTTCCATAACAGAGGTAGTAAAACTTTACCAGACTACTTTTCCTGCCGCCTGTCAATCTACGGACCGCATCTGTCACTTTTCCGGCCGAACCTGACAGATTGACATTAATCAAAAGTTCTATATGAAAATTGAAACTTTACATTAAAATACGATTTCAGGTAAAATTTAATACAAAACTCGTCACTAAAATTACACTACTTCTTTCGAAACCTAAAGTACTCGGGCCCCTAAGGGTCCTCGTACTTCAATATTTCCTCGCCAGTAATGTGCCATTTCTCTGATTTTTATGTAAATGATTATTGTTAATGCGATTAGTCAGCAATTTCGCAAACACGATAGAAATATCTGCTATTAGTGTGCGAAAACAAAAATTTTCCATGTACGTGGAATTTAAACATGCTTCTATCATCCCATTTGTCTGTGTCTGGTTTACACCAGGTATTTCGAAAGGAATACGAACGACATGTTATTAAAAAGTCCTATTGGTGGATATCAAAATCTTTTATTTCTTGAAGAATGGATCGACCATTCCCATCTACTAAATATTTTATGGTGTAAATTGCTCCCTGCCGGGACTTTGGTATGGACCCGTGTATTCGTTAACTAATACCATTGAATAAAAATAGTGTTTTTATTCAATGCTAATACCTATAAAGCTATAAGTTTAATAAATCAACAATTACTTATGTTGTTATCTATGTTGTTGTTATATATGTAAAGACATTACGTGCGATTTGTGAAAAACAACATCTCGTATGCATTATATGTTGATGTACTTACAGTTTAAAGTCTAATTATAAAATTGTTTAATTGATTACTTAGTTGTTTGTATTTACTACTACAAAAATGTTTAATTTAATTTATCGGTAAAAATATTTTTGTATACTAACAAATGAACCATTGAATTGAATACATTCTACGCACTTGAAACTGATGTGCCATTTTGAGAATGGTAATTATTTTACATTGCGTCACAAATATATGGAATTTTTTGCTGATTATAGAGATTATAGCGTATCCTTGACATATGGTCGACTTTAGAAAAATGCCGAAAACGATGGAATTGTGCTAACAAAATATTGTTTAATGGAATATTTATGATGAATGACGGTGATGAGTCTTGGAGGAATTTTATTTACTTATATACATTATGTAATAGGTCGTTTATAACCGTTAAAATAGATAAAAACAAATTTACAGACATTATGCGGTCCAGCAAAATTACCTCCTCCGGTAATTGGCCACCATTTGATCCAAACAAATTTGTTTCTACTGAGAAATGCACCCGACTTGGTTGTGAATTATTCTGTATTGTCATGACGTCGTGAAAATGACGATTTCACAACAATTACAGGTTGGCCCATTTTGATTTTCGAACCCCAGGAGCTCAATCTCCGAAAGATCACAAATGGGTCTACACTGACCCTCAAAATATAGTTATGTTTAACATTAATTCCAATTTTTTTTCTTCATTGGGCACACTTTTCCAATTTGAAAACAGATTAAAGGAGAACGATACAAATCAACCATTCAATTTTGCCCTTGTAATCGTTAGATAGTGCCAAGTTGAGCAATTTTCCTATTTTATTAAAACATCATTTTTAATTTTTCGAAGGGAAGAGGGTAGTTTTTTATAAATCTACCTAGGTATGGAAACAAATTTTCTCATTGAGTTTCTGTAACATGTCATATTGCAATCGTTTAAGAGTAATCGGGAGCTGCTCCAGTACTTTCTAAGGGACGCAGCGGTAGGAGACGAAGTATTCGAAACTGCCAGTAAAGGTGGAGCTTAAAAATGATAAAGTATAACGTGCTATCCCTACCCTACACGCGTATAGTACCTACTCCGTTCAGTTCAGTCATTTCATTTCAATGTAACATGAATAGACAATTGAATAAGGAATTTATTTACACATATCACATATGTAGGTACTTACTCGATTTATTTTTTTTATTTCATACTGACCCGTAGATGGTCGATTACTATCAATTTACGTCCGTGAGTGTCGCTAAGCAACACTTACCGGACTGTTATTTATACTTACACCAAATTTGACATCTTCAAACAATTCATTAAAAACTCCAACATAAATTTGACCATAATTATTTATTTGGAACATTAACATTTATTGTAAAAGAACAATTTGTGGTTCCCGCACCACTAACGCCTGGGTTATTACTAGATATCGAGTTAGTAGTTTGATTCCCTCCGAGGCTCTGCTGTAGAACTGCAATAAAATTCTCGTCATGAATTGATTTATTGGAAAGCGTAAACGGGTACGAAAGATCACCTTTGAAACTCGATCAGGGTAAACGCATGTTTTGAGTTCCATAAGATACCACCAAACCCTACCCCCACCTAACCCTTAAAAAACCCTCAAAGGGTTGAAAATGCCTATTGTTGTTTTTTGGGAATACGTATCTTGAAATCAAAGCTATTTAGGGAAAAATATGAAGATAGAAAAATTTAAGCATATATATATTTTCCTATAAAACCTATACCTATACAGGGTCATTCTTGACGAGCGTCAGTTAGAAAGATATGGAAAACATTATCATAATAAAAACAAAAGAATAACAACAAGCGACTTAATTTTTTTTATCAATTTGCCACAAGAAGTAACTAAAACATGGAATATCTCGGAAACCGTTTGAAGGAGCTTTTGACATTTTGTATCAAATTAAAGGTCTGGGAAAAAGGAAAACAAGGGTGAAGAACAAAATGGGGGGTGTCATTTGAAAAAATGGAGTTATGGGTATTTAAAAGTTTAAAAGTTGAGAGCTTTGAAAAAGTGACGTAGTCTCACTTTCTTAGACTGTTACGCATACCATAAGAAAATTCGATCTTTCTTTAAAAAATCAGTGCAAACGGTGTTGCAATATCTCTCACCGTTTTCGAATAATAAATTTTTAAAGTTACCCCTGCAAATTCAATTTTTTACATAAAAAGTTGAATATCGGCGAAGCCCTTGGAGCAAAGGGTCAACTATGGGGTATCGTTGTACTCCAAATTCGACGTAGAATCCGAAAATGTAGAAAAAATAGAGGGTCCCTATTTAAAATATCAAAGTTGATGGCTACTTCCGGTATTTCCGGAAGTGGCGCCATCTTAAAAATATTTTAGTTCAATTCATCATGTGCCAAAACCCTTAAAGAACTTATTAGTTTATCTTCATTTTCAAAGGTTTTCCATATCTTTCTAACTGACGCTCGTCAAGAATGACCCTGTATATTTTCCTGTACCAGTGGCGGAGTTATGATATTAATTTTGGTTATTTTTAAAAAGACTAATGTTTTAATTTCTGATTGAAATAAAGACAAATTTTTCAAAAATATTTAGTTCATTAAGTCACT